GTGTGTGTGTGTGTGTGTGTGTGTGTGTCTGTGTGTGTGTGTGTGTGTGTGTGTGTGTGTCTGTTTATATGACAGGTGGTAGAAGGGTTTCTGGGTCAGTAATAAATGCTGAACACATGCTGTTCAGTCGTTCTTTTTTATTTGCTTTATTAGTCATTTAAAAGCAGTTTGAGAAACAGGAGCCTGTGTTCCAGCACCATCTGTGTGTGTGTGTGTGTGTGGGTGTGTGTGTGTGTGTGTGTGTGTGTGTGTGTGTGTGTGTGTGTGTGTGTGTGTGTGTGTTTTTGTGACATATGAGGACAAAAATGTGTATAATGACATGGGTATGACATAGGTATTACAAGGAGAAGGTAATTTATGAGGACATTACCCCATGTCCCAACTTTTCAAAAGGCTTATAAATCATACAGAGTGAGTTTTTTTGAGAAAGTAAAAATGCACAAAGTCTCCTGTGAGGGGTAGGTTTAGGGGTAGGGTTGGTGTAGGGCAATAGAATATACGGTCTGTACAGTATAAAAACCATTACGCCTATGGAGAGTCCCCACTTTTCACAAAAACAAACCTGTGTGTGTGTGTGTGTGTGTGTGTGCGTGGTGTTTTGCACAATATATGGCTGATAGGAAAATGGCAAAGTGCAATGCATATTTTGCTTGTCAATCAGACTATTGCTTCTGTCATGTAAAGAATTATGTGCATTTTTCCGTTAATCATGCATGTCATTCTGTGTGAGAATTTTCTTGACTGAAAACGTCATGCCAGTCTGTCACACAAGACGAATAATGTTTGAATCATAAAAACACTCAGTAACCACAAATTCTTTAAAATATCTCGTTTTTGTTATGTATCTACACTGAAATAAAGTTGAACTGCAAAAAAAGTCTTTCTTACTCAATATTTGTGTCTAGCTTTCCTGTACAAAATCAAGGTACACTTACTTTTTTCTGAAACGTGTTCAAATTAAGTGTGTTCAAAAAAAAATTCTGCCTGTGCGGTAAAAAAACAAACAAACAAACTTAATTCAGATGGAAAACAAGTTTATTTTTACCCCACTGGAATTTTTTTTTAAACTTATGTGAATTTTGCTTCTCAAGTAAATGCATCTTGATTTAAGAATGTTTAAATATTTGTCCTGGAAACCAAGACAAAAATACTAAATAAAAAGAAACTGATAGTAAATTTCACAAATAAATACTAAGAAAAGGCAGGTAACACACTGAATTAAATATAACATTTTGAAAGTTGGAAGCTTGTTTCCATCATGAAATTAAAAAATAAAATAAAAAAGGTAATTGTGAGTTTATATCTTGTAATTCTGACTTTTTTTCTCAGAATTGTGAATTCAAAATGACAAGAAAAAAAGTCAGAATTGTTTGATAAAAATTGTTGATATTTTTTAATATTAGTTAATAAAAATACAACTGTTCATTGCTAGTTCATGTAAGCTCAGGTCCATTAAATAATATTAAGATACAACTTTTTCTTTTAATAATGTATAAATTAAATGTTGAAATGCACATGAAGACTAATATGAAGATTAATAAATGCTTCAGGAGTATTTTTCATAATTCGAGTAAACCTAAGATAGTTAACAAATTAAACCTTATTATAACGTGTTTTCTTGTAAACATGCTCTAATAATCTTTCTTTGATTTGCAACTTCTAAAAACATTGCTTTTTCTCCTGCTGTTCTCCAGGGTTTCTGTTTCTCCCCGGTGGGCTCATGCTCCCGATCTAGGGTGGGGGGGGCATCGCCCCGTTCTGCCATGAAAGGCTACACCCCCCAGCGCACCCGTCACCCGTCAGACTGCGAGCCGCCCCGTTCTCCCAGTCACCGGGACCCTCTGTACCCCCCGTCTGCGTCCTCCACCCTGTCCCACGCCCCGTTTCTCCTCCCAGCAGCCATGGAGCATTACGGAGCCCTGGACCCACATCACTTCTCCCCATCGCCCGACTGCCTGATGCCCCTCAACAGCCAGCTGTCCTCCAGCAGCACCTTCCCCCGGATCCACTACAACTCGCACTTCGACCAGGGCGACTTCGGTCCCACGGCTGACAGCATCGGGGGAATCAGCACCGGGACGCTGGGGACGTCTATGTCCATGGGAATGGGTCTCGGAGTGGGACGGACCGCCATGATCACCAGTGGATCCGCAACTATATCGGGTAAGAAATGTAGGACTGTCTTGAGAAGTTGCAGCTAAAGTATGCAGCTAAACATCATAAAAGTAAATGCAAAATTGCATAACAAAACAAAACTCGTCTTACTTTCTAAATTGTTTCTTTTTTCATCTTTTAAGCATAAATTTAATGAGGTTTATGTTTAAAACGAACAAAAAAAAATACTTTTTTAATGTTTTAAAATGAAGTCTCCTCTGCTCATCAAGGCTGCATTTATTTGATCAAAAATACAGGAAATACAGTAATATTGTAAAATGTTATTACAAGTTAATAAACTGTTTTCTATGTGAATATATTGTAAAATGCAATTTATTCCTGTGATCAAAGCTGTATTTTCAGCATCATTACTCAAGTCTTCAGTGTCACATGATCTTCAGAAATCATTCTGATTTGCTGCTCAAGAAACATTTCTGATCATTATCAATGTTGAAAACAGTTGTGCTGCCCAATATTTTTGTGGAAACTTTTTTATGATACAAATTTTTTTAGGGTACTTTGATGAATGGAAAGTTCAAAAGAACAGCATTTATTATAAATAGAAATCTTTGGTAACATTATAAAGACACTTACCGTCACATTTGATCAAATTAATAAAAGTGTTTATTTCTTTCTTAATCTTACTGACCTCAGACTTTTGAATGGTGGTGTATATTCTCTCAAAATAAGTTGTATTATCTGAGACATTTTTATGTAACTTTATCTTTAACAATGTTTAGATATTTTACTGAAACATAAATATGGAACACATAAGATGTTTATATAATGTCTGCTCTGCTCTAGTCTGTTGAACTCCAAAAATCAATCAATCAATCAAATAAATAAATTACAGTCATCTATATGACTCATGCATGTCATATGCAAGTCATAAAATAGAATCAAATTTAAGTTAATTCTCAAATTTAATTTATGGCTTTCAAACTTTGCACTTTGCACAATATTTTACTTGATTTGTGAGTGACGTCAAACCTGGTATGTCGCATCTTCTGCACCGCATTCAATTTTGCATGAAATTTGCACTACTTATGTTGATTCTGGTGTAATAATATAGATAAAGAGGAGGTTTGTAACGGAATAGCAGTTGTTGTTGTCTCCTGTCTTTTAATTAAATCATTTTTTCTGAATATTTACAGTACAAATGAAGTGTTTAAGTATGTCTAATAGTATCCTAATGTGACTACTTGAAAAGCTTTAATTCTACTTTATTTCACTTAAAATATGTTAATGCTTTTTATTTGTAGATGTTGTCTGCATTGTTTAACACTCAGCATGCAAGTTATTCAGATCAGGTAATGCTAAAGAAAACACCTGCGAAATTAGTGCTGATCGCAGTGTTCTAGGTGCAATGGAAAGGACGTGTGGGTCTCCCATACTTGGAATTTGTGCTCTGCATTTAACCCATCCAAGTACACACACACACACAGCAGTGAGTAGTGAACACACACACACGCAGCTGTGGGCAGCTGGGAGTTATTCACTCCCCCCACCTACAATCCCTGCCGGACCTGAGACTCGAACGTGCAACCTTGGGGTTACAAGTCCAACTCTCTAACCATTAGGCCACGCCCCAATTAGTGATGAAGCAAACATAGCAATGGATGCAAGGCCAGTAAACATCAGAGATGTGTGAAAAAAAATGAGTCATTTGACCTTCAGAATGTACTGTATATTCTTGTTATTTTATATTCTGGTTATTATTTATTGTCTCACTTAAGACTTTTTTATGTTTCTTAAAATACAGCATAAATGTAACCCTGGAGCACAAAATCTGTCATCAGTAGCACAGGTATATTTGTAGCAATAGCTAACAATACATTGTGTGGGTCAAAATTATCGATTTTTCTTTTATGCCAAAAATCATTAGGATATTAAGTAAAGATCATGTTCCATGAAGATATTTTGTATATTTCCTACCGTAAATATATCAAAACTTAATGTTTGATTAGTAGTATGAGTTGCTAAGGACTTCATTTGGACAACTTTAAAAGCGATTTTCTCAATATTTAGATTTTTTTGCACCCTCAGATTCCAGATTTTCAAATATGTATCTCAGCCAAATATTGTCCTATCCTAACAAAGCATACATCAATGGAAAGCTTATTTATTCAGCCTTCAGATGATGTATAAATCTCAATTTCAAAAAATTTACCCTTATGACTGGTTTTGTGGTCCAGGGTCACAAATGATGTGCATTTTCTTGAAATACAGCTCTGTATACTGCTACATTTATTCTTTAAAGGCCAAATAGCAACTGGATAAATTAATTATTTTAACTGAATTATGACATTGCTTTACGCATTCTGAATCTTTGCTGTTTGACCCTCCTGCTCTTTTCGCATTTAGGGGCAGGAAAAATGAACCGGATGCCACCTAACCTCTTAGACCAGTTCGAGAAACAGCTGCCAGGTCAACAGGACGGCTTCAGCACGTTACAGTTCCATCGAAGCACTGCGGTGACGACGACCAAACAGCAGCAACAGCAGCGGACTGACAGTCCGGGAAAAATACGCTACTTAGTTCACTCCGTCCAGAAACTGTTCGCTAAATCCCAGTCGCTGGAAAACTCTGCCATCAAGGGAAACATGAACGGCCGCAACAGCAGATCGTCGAGCAGCGATGACAAAAACCATCGGAGCAAAAGCAAAGACCGGGCGAAGAGCGAAGGAACTGCCAAACGGAGGCCACGATCCAATATGTCTGGATACTGGAGTTCTGATGATTTGGACAGTGATATAAGTAACTATAGGAACCCAAAGGCCATGATGACTTTGGGTCGTCAAGCGGTGGGATCTGGACCGGGGCCGGGTGGACAGGTGGCATCCAGGTACTTCATGCAGGGCTACAGCACCATGAGCGAGCACATGCTGAAATCCTCAAAGAGTAACAGTGACCTGAAGCACCAGGGGCTCCCTGCACTCCCGGGACCTGGCGGTGGTGGTGGTGGTGGGGGGGTCATAGGAAGCCGAGGACCGATGTTTGACGGGAACTTTGGTAAAGGGGGACCCTGGTCCACGCTTACGTTAGGACCCTCCAGACAGGTGTGCCAGAAGGGCTCGGCCACGCTGGATCGCACCCTGCTGAAGTCCAAATCTGTCCAGCAGGATCTGGGCTGCCACATCCTGCAGGTGCGCGGGAGGGTGAGTGCATGAATAAAACTCAGTTATTGTGTACTGTATTGCTGTGGTGGAAGCTCACTTCAGTGCACAGTATGGTCCATTTGAGGTGTATACGTATGCAGGCGACCTACACATGCACTTTATAAAGCTTCATCTTTGTGTCTGTGCTATTTTGTCTTCTGACCGATAAAAATGTCTTTGTACTCTTTTAAACCAAAGTTACGACTTTTGTTGCAGTTTCTGCTATATGTGACCCTGGAGCACAAAACCAGTCTTAAGTCGCTGGGGTATATTTGTAGCAATAGCCAACAATACATTGCATAGGTCTAAATTATAGATTTTTTTTTAATGCCAAAAATCATTAGGATATTAAGTAAAGATCATGTTCCATGAAGATATTTTGTAAATGTCCTACTGTAAATATATCAAACCTTAATTAGTTTTTGATTAGTAATATGCATTGCTAAGAACTTGGACTACTTTAAAGGCGATTTTCTCAGTATTTTTATATATTTTTGCACCCTCAGATTCCAGATTTTCAAATAGTTGTATCTCAGTCAAATATTGTCCTATCCTAACAAACCATACATCAATGGAAATATTAATTCAGCTTTCAGATTATGTATAAATCTCAATTTTAAAAAATGGTTTTGTGGTCCAGGGTCACATTTTGTTGTTGTTCTGTCTCTTTAGTTTAGTTTTTTACTAGTCTGAAACAAGGGCCCGGGTCAGTGTTGCCATCTTTTGGAACAACCGATTAGTGCAAAATCAATTCAGTGCACATGTGTGACCTGCATGTACAAAGTGCGCGTGGTTTCAAAAACCGGATGGTGCACGTACAGTATGCGCGTACTATACTGGTGATGAAATTTGAATCACACGCACTGTACGCAGACCCTCACATGCACGTAAAAACCAAAGTATACTTTGGCCTTAAAGCATACTGCAGTTTTAAGACAAACTCTTAAGACCTTGATATACTCACAGCACAGTTCTTTTTCATTCTTCGCTCATAAGTAAAAAGAAGTTTACTCAAAAGCGCCACTCCACCCATGGGTTAAGATAAATATGTAAATATGTGTTTTGCACTTTACTCTCAATAACAAAATAAACACAAGAGAAATGACAGCGGTGAGAAAGCAGCAGTTAAGAAAGCATCATGGTCATAGTGTTGTGGGGGTTTGCACGAGCTCTGCAATTCGGCACTCCAGTAAAGTCACAGCATGTTTATTTATGTAGCACTTTATACAATAGTTTGACTTAAAGAAAGCAGCTTTACAGTAATAAACATGAAAAAAACAGTGTGTGTGTTGCTTTCAAATAGAACTTTACAGTGGTGGCCAACATTGTTAGAACACCTGACAGATCTGAAAACAGCCTCCAAAACATGATTTCATTTCATAATGTTCATGAAACATGCAGATGGTTTCTCTGAGCACAACAAATATCAGATGAAGTGAGTCGTACCGTTTTAATCCACTTTTAACTTTAATATTTGGTATGTCCACCTTTTGCAGCAATTACAGCAGCACATCTCTCTGGCATAGTGTCAGTATATTTCCTGAGAACATCAACACTAATATTATCCCATGCCTTCTGCAACTCAAGCCAAAGGCTTTCCTTTGAATGTACAACCGATCTGTCCAGTGTATTTTCCAACTCGCCCCAAATTTGCTCGACGGGGTTGAGGTACGAGCTTTAAGGGGGCCAGTCCATCATCGTCAGTGTTCCAGCAGATTCCTCCCGTCGCACATAGTTCCGGCAATAGTTAGTTTTATGGGTATTGTAATGGCCAATTCAACAAAAACAACTGAAACCTCTTAAATATGCCAAGTGTTCTAACCATTTTGGCCAGCACTGTAATTTCTACTGTAAAGCAGCTCTCCAGCGTGTTCATGTTTTTAATTGCGCCTCACCTCGACAAACTGAACAGAAGAAATTAACCAGAGAAGATTTCCACGTCAAAGCCACACCTACCTTTTACATAATCGCCATGTGCCAATGGTAATGCCAGTGTTTCCCAGCCTAAGTTAAATTTTGTAGAAAGTTCACTTTGGCAAGTCATTTTTAACACCCAAAAATGCTGTTCATTTTGTTCCGTTTCAAAACTTCATTTTGGCCTGGTTTTGTTCAAAATGACATCACACCAGTTTGTTTTTCAGTTTTGCTTAAAGTGTGTCTGGGTCTTTAAGCCTGGTTTAAACTGTCAGTCCAAATCTGTGCTAATCCGATGGGATATTTAGTATGAACAGCAAAGAATCACATGAAATACAATGCAAAATTTCAAGCATCTTTCATACGTGGTTTGAAATCCTTTTCAAATCACATTTCTGGAAATCTGTTTCAGTCTGACCACTCTGATTGGAATTTGCATAGCTTTTTCATACGTATATATACATACATGATATCACACATTTTATCCCACATTATAATGGTGTGTTTTATTTGTTTCATGTGATGTTTATTAGGGGCTGAATCTGAAATGAGAACACAAAAATAGACCACGACATGACCATCAAGTACAGTAGTTTAGGTCATGTACAGAATACACAAAAGAAAATGTTTTTTTGTCTTGTTTTTCATTACAAATATCTAGACCAAGACATATAAGAAGATATTTAAGATACGTATAAGAAGCAAAATGACAAGATATTATTAAGTCTCGTTCTCTGATGTAAACATGTTTCCATTTGAATTAAGTTTATATTTCTGATCCCACTGGAAGACATGTTTTCTTGATTTAAGCACAAACTCAGAGTTTTCAGAAGTCATGTCTTGTCGTGTCGTTTTGCTTGTGTCTTGATTTAACAATGTTTGTACTAGACTTTTTTCTACTAGATTTTTTAAATGCTCTTCACACTAAGAAAAGTTTCACTGAAAGGTTGTTTGGGGAACCAAAATTGGTTCTTCAATGGCATCACTGAGAAAAAAAACCCATTTTGTAACCTTTATTTTTAAGCTTGTGCTCTGGAAATCAGATGGGCCATGAATGTGCATCTGCAGTCTGTCTGATGTTTGTTCAGATGCCCTCCACCGGCGACTGGATGGGGACTCTGGGCCGAAGCGGGCCCATGGGCGAGATCCCCTGTAGACGGATGCGTAGCGGCAGTTACGTCAAAGCCATGGCCGACCTTGAGGATAGCGACGACTCTGACGAGAGTCCCAAACCCTCGCCAAAAAGCACCGCGCGGAGGCAGAGCTACTTACGCGCAACACAGCAATCACTAAGTGACCAATTCCCCTCAAGAAAGTAAGTCAACACATATGATTAATACATACACATATTATGTTTCTGTTCATTATTAAAGTGCCCCTATTATGCCTTTTCGAATATTACCTTTCATGCAGTGTGTCATGTAGCTATATGTGAACATAAACTATTTGCAAAGTTGTGAAACTGACAGTGCACGATAAATAAAGTTATTGTCTATCAAAGAAAAGAGTCGGCTCGCAATCGCCTAAACGAGTCGCCAGGAATTCGAATCTTATTCTGCTACGGCTCTGCATCACAAAGTATAATGTCTGCCCACGTTCTACGTCGCCAACTTGCCCGCCCACACACAGTAACATTTCCGTGTGGTTAACATCATGTCGAGAAGATGCTGTATCCTACGCTGTGAGAGTAAATTAGTTTTATCGCGTCTTATAATTACCACAAACTTGTTAACACTTGACACTTACCACTGAGAAACGTCCTGCCCCAGTCGTGCTTGCGAATCAGTCTCTTGTCGATCAGCTAGTTCAACCGTTTCATCATCAAACTCCGGCTCGAATTGGTAAGGTACAATCGATAGCATCTTTTCTATGTATTGACAAGTCTCTGGGCTGTCATTCCGTCATGGCAATGGACGCTTCGTTTCCGACACGCGCTGTACGCGGTAGACCAATCCAGAGCCAATCTCTCTGCGGCTCTGGACCAATCACAAAGGACTGCGCCATCTGACCAATCACAGCAGTGAGGGCTCACGGAAAGGAGGGGTTACGAGAGACTGATTCTTTGAACTGCTTCGCACGAGTCGTTTACGAATCATTTAGAAATTAGGTCAAATTAAATCTATTTTTTGAGAAAACTAACTTGCATGCATGTAAACCTGTTTTAGGAGACTCATAAAACAATATTAGCAATCTTAAAAATGGCATAATAGGGGCACTTTAAAACAAAGCTCTATATGCACAACCGCAGTGACCCGTTTCTGTGCAGAAGGCTGGAGATACATTAGGGTACAAACACAGAAACACACACTGGTGGTCTGTCACGACGCCAGAGACCCCGTCTGAGGTGTGAGCTCTATTATGTCATGCCTTCTGGATCAGGATGAGTTTATCGGTGTTGATTCTCTCTCATACATGCATCAGAATCCAGCTGTGCTTGTTCATCTGCTAGATTAAGCACAGCTGGTGTTTCTCCCCTGCATATGCTGAGCCTCGCACAAGCTTTCTGCTGCTCACATGTAAAGAAAACACATCTTATACTCTTGAACAGTTGCTATTTTGCCCTGTTTGTGGACATGAAATGTGCATTTGTATTATCAATCAATTGTGATTTTTTCAACAGGTATCTGGTACAGATCAGATTGTGTTATATAATTGCAAAACACACAAACAAGTTGTTTTTGCATCCAATTTATAGTACTTTTAAATGTGCTTCTAAATCAAATCTGACGTCATCAGTGAAGTCTCATTCAAACAGTAATGGTGTTTAGTAAAAATGGCAAAGTAATTGTTACATTTGTTGTGCTGCCTTTTGTTTTTGCTGATTTAAATAAAATGATTGTGTCTGGTCAGAATGAATTACAGTGCAGTATTATTTTAGTAAAACTAAATATTTACTACTACATTATTTATATATGCATTTTCCGTTTTCATTTTAATAATAGTGTAGGTTTTAATTATTTTATGTGCTTTATGTGTCATTTTTCATCATTTATTTTCATCATTAATTTTTTCAGTTTTAGTCATTTTACTACTTAAACTTATTCATTTAAGTTAATTGCCAAGTCCATATTTCTAACAATGTTTCTTTAACAATAATAGAACACTAAACCACCCTACAAATAGGCCTGATTTTTTTAGTGCAGTTTCATATATTATTCTTTTGGTTTTGTGAAGAAATCTGGCATGGACGTGTTTTCTTCAGATTGATCCTAACACTTTCCTCTCCTAACCCTGATAGTTTAGACTATATATGTTCACAATGGTATACTCGCTTATTGCTTACTGAATACAGTGCAGTATACACTATTTTCTGATTAATATTTTTATTAATAGTAAATGAACCATTTAATTTTTTTATTAAACTTAAAAAAAAAATTAAACACGCTAAGAATATTGTTGTCACATGATGGTACATGCGAGTAGCATGCAATTAATTTTTGTGTGATTCAAAAAAGAGATTTTTTTTAAATCACTGCTGCTTCAGAACATTTGCATTTTGTGCACAGTATACTTGTGCTGAAATAGTAAAAGCAGTTTGTTAGTATGCTGTTCTGAACATAGCGTTTTTCTCTCGCTGGTGTGTGTGTTCTTCAACATTTATAAGTTTCCCTTCTTTAATGACTCGAACGTCTTGGTTTGAAGCCCCGCCTCTTCTGTTTTAAGCACCTCCCTCTTTCTGCACTGTAAGCTCCTCCCCGTCTCACCTGTAACCCTGCCTTCTCTCCAGCCGTCTGCTGGACTACTCGATGCTGCAGGGGGATCTGGAGGCTCTCTGGTCCCCCCTCCACAGCATCAGCACCCTGCAGCAGATCGGACGCTCTGTCAGGTCAGTGCAGTGAGGAGAAATCTGTCCGACCGACCCCAGCTCCTCACTGACCACACAAAGGAGTCGTCGCACCTGCGCTGCTTTCCTCAACTCCTCTCAAATTAGGAGTGCTGATTGAAAATTGTTTTTTATTGGCCCTGAAACAGTTCTCCTACTCTGAGATGTTTAGTCTGAGGTGGTTTTCTCCATACAGCACAGATCTGATGTTTGGGTTTTGCTTGCATTTCATCATTGCAGACAAGTGGATTGTGATTGGAGAGAGAGAAAGCCTCCTCGGCGCTTGTTATGCTCACCCTAACTGCTGTAAAAGCTCTGATTGGACGCTGAATGGAAACGGTACTTTGCTGATTGGTCGTTAGCTGTGCTGCTTCAGTCTGATTGGATAGTCAAACTGTTTGAGGAGATTGTGTTTTTCATTTTAGAGCGGCAATTTTCAGATCTCCTGTGTTCTCCTGTTATGATGATGGATGGATGATGGAAAGATGGATTGATTCATTTCTGCACAAAAAACTGGAAAGATAATACATTTGCTAATAAGTAAATGTTTCTTCACTAGTTTTGTTGCAGCTTTACCATTTCCATTTGCTTTATGTGCAGTAGACCAGGGGTTTTCAATCGTGTAGATGCCACGGACCCCCCAAATATGATCAATATGAAAAAGGCATAGAGTTTTTTTTTATATGAAGACCCAATTTATACTGTGAAAAATTTATATCGTAATCATAATAATTTTTTTCCTACTGATTATAGCACTGTACTGTTAGATGTATTATTTATTCATTTATTTATTTTAATTTAATTTCTGTTTATTTCATTCAATCTCATTTTTATTTTTATTTGATCCTATTTTTTTTTATTTGTTTATTTAAAACTGATTTTATTTATTTTATTTATTTTTATATCTTATTTTTATTTTTTTAAATCTTGTATTTATATTTTTATGTTTATATTTAAAATATAGTATATTATATTTACACTGTTTTCTCTTTTATTGATTTCTTTTTTTATTTAATATTTGTAATTGTATTTAAAATTTTCCCTAAATTGTTTAAAAAAAATTATATTATTAATTTAATCTGTATTTTATCAATTCCATTAATTCGTTAAAACTAATTTTATTTATTTATTTTCATCTTATTTTATTAATGAATTTTTTAAAATCTTGCATTTGTGTTTAATTTATTTAGTTTATCTTTTATTCCATTTACTTCTATTTATTCATTTTTACACTTTTGTTTTACCATAAACATTTTCACTGACCCATTTTCACTCCCTTGTGGCCCCTGGGGGTCCCCGGGCCCCAGTTTGAAAACCCCTGCAGTCTGCAGTAGCCTATAGAGCTGCTTGAGCTGCTTGTGGCCTTTCTCTCATCTCCTGCCTCTTCTCTTCTCTCTGTGACCCCCGTTCCCTTGCTGTCCTCAGCTGTCTTCCTTCTCTGCGAGAGTACTCTGGGAATCGCAGTCTGGATAACCTGGACTGCATCGGAGGCAGTTCTCCGTTCCCAAACTGGGATGATGACGACTTCAGTCAGGGCTGCAGCACGCTGGGACGCGGCAGCTGCATCAGTCAGGTCAGACCCCTCATGACCTTTGAGTTCATTATAGGACACGGCCGACAGATGAGGATGCATAATATGCATTGAATATAATGACATAGTCTTTCTGATAAATAACTTAAGAAATGGGCTGATGTATCAGTGTGTCACTCATGACCTTTGAGATTATACATGATCCATTACAGCTCACAGAGCTTGGAGAAATGCATCAGCTCAAAGACTAATTAGTAATTAAACTGACATGCTTTGCTCAGTTTGCACATTTCCTGTATGAGTGCATTAAAGCAGTTTTATCATAATTACATATTTATCTGTGTTTTGGTAGTATGAATGCTATATTTGAATGCCCTACCACATTTTCCAAACTGTGCAGTAAAAACTGTGTCCCAAAATGCAATGCACAAGACTTTCCTTTCCATTTCCAGTGTGACAAATGAACCTGAAGTAATCGCAGCTTTTTTCTCTTTTTTTTTTTTTGACCCATTATTTGATCAGACTGCCAGTTGCTTAAACATTTTTACCCAACAATCAATGATTACTACCCTGGTGGCCAAAAGCTTGGACTTTTATGCTCACCGGAGCTGCATTTATTTGATCAAAAATACAGTAAAAACAGTAAAATTGTGAAATATTATTACAATTTAAATTCACTGTTTTCTATGTAAATATATGGCAAAATGTCATTTATTCCTGTGATCAAAAAAGCTGCATTTTCAGCATCATTAGTCATCAGTGATCCTTCAGAAATTATTCTAACATGCTGATCTGCTGCTCAATTTTTGATAATGATGAATAGAAAGTTAATTTGATTTAAAACACATGTAAAAGTTTAATTTGAAATCGTTTTTCGTGACATTCTAAAAGTCTTTACTGTCATATTTGTCACTTTATTGTAACAATTTAATGCATACTTGCTGATTAATAGTATTAATTTATTTATTTCTTTTGAAAGGTAGTGTATCACGGTTTCTATGCTTTCAACTTTGATAATAATCAGAAATGTTTCTTAATTAAGCAGCAAATCAGCATATTAGAATGATTTATGAAGATCGCGTGACACTGAAGACTGGAGGAATGATGCTGAACACTTCTGAATAAATTACATTTGAACAGATATTCACATAGAAAATGGTTACTTGAAATTGTAATAATAGTTCACATTTTTTACTGTGCTTTTGATCAAATAAATGCAGCTTTGAGACTTTCAAAAACTTTAGAAAATCTTCATTATTCCGAACTTTTGGCAGCCAGTGTGTATATAATGCATAGTGCGCAGTATTCAGTAAAGTCATTCTGAACGCAGCCATGCACCCGTCACTGTTCTTTCTCAATCATGCCAGCCCTCATCAGCCGTCGCTGTGTCAGCAGGTGCGAGACATGGAGCTGAGTCAGCATTATAGAGACGAGCTGGAGGACATGCATCCTCACTCCCGCTGCAGCGAGCCTCCAGACATGCCCATGCCCACATGCTTCCGCTCCCGCAGCCATAGTTACCTTCGCGCCATTCAGGCCGGCTGTTCTCAAGACGACGACACGGCCTCGATGGACTCTGATTCACCGCCGCCCACGACCACAACGACCGTACGCACCTACAGCAACAGCACCGGTGAGTACAGACCAGCAGAGCCAGTCTGACCAGTGCTCAGAGAATACCGAGAACAAAACATCTCTGCTGTGTTTCTGCTACAAAAACATTTAAAGCAGAAATGCATATCAAGATCTGATGGTGTTGCTCATTGTCCTGTCCAGAAAGAGTGTGTTTCCCCTGTTTAAAATTCAAATAAAGGACTCATGCTGTTGATCTAATGACACAAACACAAAATAAGCTGAAGTGCAATAAAGTTCAAAAGTCAGTCATGCAAAAGTTTATATTTTATGCATTTTTATTTTTATTGTTTACATGCCCAGTATTTATACTGTAGATGTAGGGAACTAATTCCTTTTCAACTCAAGTGAATATTTCTAATATTAATTTCTAGATACACACAAACTGTAGAGCACAAAAAAACATTTTCATTGCTGTTGCCCAGAATAAAGGAAACACTGAACACCTTTTGTGACAACTTGTTGATTTATTTCATTGGTTTTATTATTATTATTATTATTATTTATTTAATTAATTTCTTTATTTTTATTTTTTACAAGAGGCACTGCCTCCCTTGACCCCTTGGACATATAATTTATAATTGCTGTGTATTTTTGTTGTGGTGAGTATTATTATCCTCCTTTTTTTTGCTGTTTCTTTTTAATTTACTCATGCACAATTATATATACAAATATTTTATTTCATTTTTAAATTTATTTCTGCAAATAATTTGACAAAACAGTAGTATTTTTCTTTGCAAATTCCTGCACAGCCTGCTTGAGACCAGAGAGAGAGACCCGCCCCCTCTCCATTTCATTCACGACTGCCTCAGAAGGGGCGGGCCCTAGTACGCGTCACACACTTAAGTGGGGCGTATCTATCGGTCTGTTGTCCAATCGCTTGCACGCAAAACAGTGACTGACAGCTCGTTTGTCCAGTAATGATTTCCGACGCGTTGTTTCCTACAACAATACTCCGCTGCAAGTCACTAAGGCGTTTCCACACGGTTCTCTCTTTCCGCGACGTGGACGCTCTCAGGATGATGGTGATGTTGCGTTAATATAAATCTCATTATATGAGCGAAACAGCGACGGGTTGAGCATCATTTCCAGCGCGAGAGCAGGTGAGAATCAGAGATTGCTGTTCATGTGATGCGGACCGACATTAACGCACACACACACACACACACACACACACACACGTGTGGGTTTTGCTTTAGAATTGTGTTCTTTTTAAAAGATATGTCATGTCTGGTGATTGTATTGATTGGCTATAATAATAAGTGTTATTATTTATTAAATTAATCATAATATTTTATTGTGATGGTCTATAATGACTTATTTCTGAGTTATTATACAGGCTTTTTTTTTTTTTAAGACAATTTATGTATGACACACACTTATACACTCTCATTCTCACACACACCCAGCTCAGTGATCCCGAAACAGTTGTCATGTCAGTTTCCATGGGCAAGAATCATCTTTAATGTGACTTCTGTAGGGCAGCTAAACTTGACCGCCCTGTCAGACAGGAGCATGCACTGTGTTTATGATTACAGCATGAGGAGGTTTTACATTACACACATGGCTCTGGTTAAAGGTGTCACTTTGCATTTAATTGCTGTGCATTGCTCTGAAACAGGTTCATTCATCTGATAACAGGCCTTAGAGAAAAGTATAGTTTGTGTGTTCTAGACACAGTCTGATGGAGAGGCTTCTGTTAGTTTATGCACTCATATTTCTTTCAGATGTTTTTTCTGTGAAGAGCTAAGCGCTCTCTTGATGTCTGGCTCTTGTATAATGTTTTGTGTTGCGCTTCCGGACGTGCTGTATTAAGCAACAGAAGTCATTCAGAGGGAGTTTTGTCAGTGCAGTGGCTTGGATAAATAGTCGGCCAACTCCCAGGATGTTTGTACTGAAACAATATAACAATGCATCTAGTTTTTTCCACAATGACTGACTTGCATGGAGCATATTTCACCTGAATCATGGCACAGAGTTTAACATGTTATGACACGGATGAGATTCCCATGGGGCTTTTTACATTCAGCTTCCAAGACTTTTTCCTGCACTTACGGGCAAGTTTTTCATGGATCTGCTCAATTATTTACCTTTCTCCCTCTAAGCTCAAAGCTCATGTGCTGGAGAGCTTTATGCAGCATTAATGTCATATTTGCCTTTTGGTTTCTGAATGAATGTTTCTGTAGATATGATTTCTGTAGCTGCAATTCCAGGTTGTAATCTTTGTGTTGAAGTCAACATGAAATCAAAACCATCCTTACTGTTGACTTTAAGCGCACAAAAGCACAGTGTCTGCTGCTTGATCTGTTTGTTTATGACTTCAAAACGGTGGCTAGTATGATCTCCTCTCATGGCAATCTAGAGGCTTTGTTTGCATGGCTGCTGTTGCTATAGTTCTTCTCTTTGGGGTTTTACAGCATTTAAACATCAGCAGCGTTTAGAAGTAGCTGACACATGCTGCTTTCTTGGAAAGTGTCTCAAGAAACGCTGGGAGGAAAATAAGCTCATTTTAAGGAGTAGTTCACCGCAAAATGGAGATTCTGTCATTATTTGCTCATCCTCATGACATTCTAAATCCATACTGCTATTTTCTGTGTCTTACGAAAAGGGGAAAAACTTCACAGCAGCTTTTGTAAAATAAACAAAAACGCCAGAAAACAACCTTAAAACTTTTAGTTTTTAGATCAATCAAACCTTTAAAGGGATAGTTCACCTTCATCATTTACTCACCCTCAAGTTTTTCCAAAACATGAACATAAAAGAAGACATTTTGTAGATATTTTGTTGGGGCGTACAATGGAAGTCAACAAGGAAATTCATACAGTTTTGGATCAACATGAGTGTGATTAAATGATGACGGCATTTTCATTTCTGGGTGAACTATCCCTTTAACCTCTCATAATCTTTTAGGCGTACTATTCTAGTAATATGTCGACTAGGTTTTGAAGCTGTTTCTGAGGTGAGGAACACACACGTAGATGAACCGTCAGCGCAATAAACTAAGTGTCAGCAGCAGAAAAGCCTGTAATTAGGGCTTTTATTAGTTATACAACCTTCATCACACCCAGAATTAGTCAACTAACTAACACACCCGTGTCCTAGAATGTAAAATGGCAAAATAATGTGAGATTTCTCCGGTCAGAAGGTTTGGGATTTCCATTTGCTCGTTTTTGCTTCAGTTATTGGTAGCCTCAAGGAGGTTATAAACGCTTTATGAAAGAGTTTTAGTCCACAGAAAGCTGGATGAAGCACCGTTCCTGTTGCTAATCATTTGATTAGTTCAAATTCTTGCCTGGATTATGGGAATAAATGCATTTAATGTGTATTGGGTTTATTAAGCTAACTCTTCCAAATCCACATAATGACCCAATCCTTACAGATTCCAGTGGCGTTGGTCACCGCATCGCTCCGATGTAGAGCTCATATTCCACTTGAGTAAGCAACTAGAACAATGACCTGATTGTCGTTTGTGCGTTTTTACATCAGATGCATGTATTACCTTTATTCTACACAAAGCTTCTTATTTCTGGCTTACAGGATTTGTTTTGTTTGCTGCTGTATTATTAGTCAGGATTTTTCCTAATTATTTCCAAAGAAAAGTAAAAGCATCTAGAATGTTATTCAGCAAAACATAACAAGCTCATTTGGAGAGATTGTTTTGAGGAATAGATGTCATATAATGCATTACGGATTAAAAAAAAAATGTTTCCCTTCACAAAGACCATGTTTGATCTAGTTTCATTGTACAGTAAAAGAAAATAATGGAAGAGCTACATCAACGTTTAAAGTCTTTCTGATGTGGCATTCAGTTTGCATTGAACAAACCTCAGAAGAAGTAGAAGCTCTGTGGCTATAGAGGGTATTAATGCCAAGATGCTGCATTAGCAGTGGATGCTTATTACCACAATGCATCTGCCATATTGGAAAGGTCAAGATCTATGAACATGAATTAACGGCAACAGGCAGCAACAGTCCCGTGCATCAGATTTTCATAAGATTTGGTTTGTCATAAACGTCGCACAGTTCTGCATATTGAAAAGTCACCAACGAGAGTCGGTGAAACGCTCTAGTAAAATAATATGGTGAAAACCTTGACATCATAACCAAACTAAGTATGCTTATGAGATCACATGACTGTCCCAAACATGACCTCCCCAACAATAGGCTTGGTCTAGACCTGGAATGTGACTGAGAGGAATTCTGCAGCATGTATGTCACAGACATTGGCGTGATGATGTCACAGTGGTGTTTTGTCTTCTGGCGCTGTGCAGCCGTAAGAATCACTTCTGAATCACATACTGATATTGGCGTCATCTGATTCACACTGCCTTCACTTTGACAGGATTTATGTAATTACAAGATGACGAACATGAGCTGCTCACATCCTCAGTCTCGTTTCTATGGCAATGTTCATCATAATAACACTAAAATGAGTCATGTGTGGCTTTATTGATGACAGCGGAACACTTAAAGATACTTAAAGCAAAATACTAAAGAAGACGTGCATCAGGTTATTGGCTAAACATTTATTTACATACATACACATGTCTGTCTGTCTATCTGTCGTTCTATCTGTTTGTCGGTCTGTCTGTCTATCTATCTATCTATCTGTCGTTCTATCTATCTGTCGTTCTATCTATCTATCTTTACAAGATGACTAACATGAGCTGCTCACATCCTCAGTCTCGTTTCTATGGCAATGTTCATCATAATAACACTAAAATGAGTCATGTGTGGCTTTATTGATGACAGCGGAACACTTAAAGATACTTAAAGCAAAATACTGAAGAAGACGTGCATCAGGTTATTGGCTAAACATTTATTTACATACATACACATGTCTGTCTGTCTATCTGTCGTTCTATCTGTTTGTCGGTCTGTCTGTCTATCTATCTATCTATCTGTCGTTCTATCTATCTGTCTGTCATTCTGTCTATCTATCTATCTATCTATCTATCTATCTATCTATCTATCTATCTATCTATCTGTCGTTCTATCTATCTATCTGTCGTTCTATCTATCTATCTGTCGTTCTGTCTGTCTGTCGTTCTATCTATTTGTCTGTCATTCTGTCTGTCGTTCTATCTATCTATCTGTCGTTCTGTCTGTCTGTCGTTCTATTTATCTGTCTATCTGTTGTTCTATCTGTCATTCTGTCTGTCTGTCGTTCTACCTATCTGTCTGTCGTTCTGTCTGTCTGTCGTTCTATCTATCTGTCTGTCTGTCTATATCTATCAGTCTATCTGTCGTTCTATCTGTCTGTCTCTGTCTGTCGTTCTATCTGTCTGTCGTTCTCTCTGTCTGTCTGTGTCTAGCTATCTATCTATATCTATCAGTCTGTCTGTCGTTCTATCTGTCTGTCTGTCTGTCGTTCTATCTGTCTGTCTTTGCATTAACACATTATTATCATTATAAGTAAGCACATTTTCCAAAAAAAACTAAACAAAAACATAATCAATGCACTCGGATGCTTTACTTTTAAACTTTTTTGTAATTGTCCTTGTACTCAGTGTTCATTGTTTTATATTCTCATTAACAAAAATAAATAAAAAATATTTTATTTTATTTATGTGATGTTATTTCATTTTAAAAGTTTGACAAAGATTAATTTTTCGTCCGAAACTTTGACATAACACAGCATAAGAGGAATTAGTACACTGAGGAAAAAAAAGATTAATTGAATTTACAATTTTGTTTTTTTTTAGGTAAGTGGTTGCAATCAATTTATTTTAGCTACATTTAAATAAACAAATGTAGTTGACTAACTTTCAACATTTTTTTTTAATTAAATATAGCTCAAATAAATTGTTTGCAACCACTTACCAAAAACAAAAATTAGTATAATTTTTTTCAGTGTAATGGCTAATGGGATCGATCTGCACGTCCTAATTGAAAACTATCATCATAGAGAGCTTTCCTTCCAAAGTTTAAAGTGATTTCTACTTAATGTACTTAAGGAAAGTAGTATTTGCTTCTAGAATAAGGTTTTGAGAACCGGTCATTAACAAGACCCTCTCCGCTTTAGAGTTGTTCAGCAAGTTATTAGCATTCCCTCATGGCTCAGTAAATGTCTCGTTTCATTCATGCAAGCAAGCCTCTGCTCTCCAGAAACCCGGGATTTCTAGCCTAATGAATGATTTATGCAGAAGCGTAGAGTCTTTCCACAGGCGATCTAGGATGCTGACACAGACATTACAGCAGCTGCTCCAAACAGACCCGTGAAAATACACCAGCTGCATCTAATGCCGATTTCATAATGACCCTCTTACTGTTGAATTCCAGCGAATGAAACCTTTCTGAACTGCTCTTTCAGACAGTCTGTGAAGGCGCAGATGTGAATACCGAAGAGAACGAAGGATTATTGCGATCATGGCCACACCTGAATGATAAAGTCAGACTGGATGGCTCACACACACACCACACCAGTGTTGACTCAGCTAATGGCACAGTCGCTTCATTATTTAAGACGTGAAGGCAGCACTATAAAGAGAGTTTTAGTTGTGTGAATGCAAATTTGCTGGATTTTAAGGTGTTTGTCTCTAAAGGCTGAAAAGCAGATTTAACCTTCACAACAAAAACGTAGGAATTGATGCTTCTTTGTAACGTCTGGATGACGGAGATCTTTTGAGACCAGATCAAATCTGATATTGAGTAAGTTTGAGGAATCCAGCTCTTAGATATTAAGGCATGCAAACAGATATTTGTTGGTGGCCTTTAGCTAGTCATGTTACATTCCCGCCTTAATCACAAACACACACCTACCAATCAATGTTTGCAGAAGATCTCTCCACCTGACGATTTATAAATATGATATGTATGTTGAGAGAACACGTCTGTCATTTGCTTTTTGCTTTGCAAGTGATTAGGGATGCACGATATATCGGCCACCATATCGGTATCGGCCGATAAATGCTCATTTTATCATTTTATCATTTTACAAAAAGTGTTAAGACCCACAAATATGGCAGATATGTGAGGCCGATGGTTAAACAGAGGTTTAGATGAAGGGGTTTGAGTGATTAATAATCAGTATCTAAAGTGGCTGTGCGAAGTATTACAGTATGTCCCAAAGCTTGCCTACTATACAGTAAACACTCAGAAGTATGTTCTTTTTCTGCACAAAGAGTACATACTTTTAGGGCGTGATATAAGTAAGCGAATTGGGATGCAGCAGTTGCATTTAACATAATTTTGTCCAAAGTAGAGAAAAACACAGTGATACAGGAAATTATTCGAAACTGGTTTCATTGGGGAAATGATTAACGTGAGGCTGACAGAATGCACATAAAACTATATTAATAATTGGCATTTGGTTAAAATGATCCAATAACCCACTAGGCAAATGTAACAAACAGAAGCAGAAAGCTGTTTTAGAGGGAGCGTGTGTTATTTTGATTAGAGATTCTTAAGTATGGCTCAGTATGGCTCAGTATGGCTTTGTCATTTTAAGAAAGGAACGTTTTTTAAGAATTTTATGCTGGATCTTCTGAATTTTTGTGTCTAGAGTTTCTGCATAATGTTTGCGTATGAAACATGCATACGCTCAGATTTACAGCACACACGGGATTCCTGTGGGCTTGTTATGTTTGCCATCGTTTCCGTCTGCCAACTCCACCCGAGTGCTGCTGCGGCGCTGTGAACTCCCACGGAGACACACACACACACTGGGGTTACATATATTGGGCAAAATAAAATCTTTCTCTTCTCTGCATTTCTCCTCTTCTTTAGCTTGCTTCCTAATCTGGTTATCTGATAAACCTGGAATTGTATATTACGAATATTGTTGCTTTTTGTTTTGTAAGTCACTTTGGAGAAATGCATCTGCTGAATGCATAATGTAAATGCAATCCACTTTATTTCTCTCTCTCTGTCTTGATTTAAATCCAGTAACCCATTAAAAACTGCTAATGCAATTAATTCTGTGAACAAGTAAATGAATGAGGTTAAATACTCTTATGCACTAAAATGCAGCAGGATCTGTATGTCAGATTTTAGTGTGTTTGTGAATCTTTCCAATTCTGTGAACAAGTAAATGAATGGTCAAATACTCTTATGCACTAAAATGCAGCAGGATCTGTATGTCAGATTTTAGTGTGTTTGTGAATCTTTCTTTACAACTCGGACTGATATTTTGTTATCTAATGCTGCAGTGACATTCAGAGATTTTAGCGTGGCTTTGGAGTCCAGATACATTTTGGGGCCGCTTTGGGACTGGAAAAACAACTGTGTTGTTGGAAAGAAAGGTCGCAGGCTGTGTTGAGTTGACGTCAGAGTCACTGCCATCATAAACACGGACACACACACACACACACACACACACACACACACACACGGACACATGTACATGCTGAGAGCTGTGAGGACCAGACCAGACTACAGCTGAGAATTAGTGCTAGTTGTTAATAGTATATAGAATTATTATTATTGTTGTTGTTGCCAACAGCCTTTGCTCATAAATCTTTACCTTTGCAGGTTTGTGTGTTTGAGTCAGCTTTAGTATTTAGTTTTATAAATATATATATACTCTTGTCTGAATTTTAATTTATATTTATGAATTTACAGTGAATTTACATATATTTGTAATCTTTACTTTACTATTAATAGCACTAGTGAATAATTATTGAAACTTTTACAGCAGCAATGTTTTGATTTTGAAGCAATAAATGCATAGCATCAAAAATAAATTTGTTACAAGACATCAACATTATTTAAAAAATAAAAAACAATAATTGGTTGTATATATTACGATTGTAGTTGTTTTTAAGATGTTCATGCATATTATGTATTAATTGCAGCCTAACAATCATTTAGTTATTGTGACTAATAACTATTGACTATTGGGAAAATATATATAGAAGTTTTATTTGTAAAATTCTGTTCATATGTGTATTCTGACAATTTATGTTTTTATATGCATTTAAAAAAAATTTAAGTCACTCTTAATAGTACTAGAGCCAAATTAATGAACCTTTTAAGGAAATTCATTTTGAAGCATCAAAACAAAAAACTGAAAATTAATTTGTGAACATTTAGAACAAATTTTAAATTCATACATATTTATTCATTGTTATGTATTTCAAATATTATTTAAAAAATAATTATTATTATATATATTTTTATATATGCTATGATCGATGTTATATATTAAGATATAAGATATAATATTTAGTTATATTATATAATATATAGTTATATTAACATATATATATATATATTAAGCTGTATAAGAGGAATATATTCATTATGTATGTTATATATTCATTGCTGTAGTCTAATGATCATATAGTTATTATGTTAAACAGGGCTGGGTTGTGCATATAAATTATGGGGAAAAATAGGGTGTGTGTCTTGCATACTAAGTTTGAATGGCGTGTCAAATGTCTTTCCATCACTTTCCATCTCATCACTCTAATGTTTTATGTTTCTTTCTCTCCGTGTCTGCAGTCTCCACATGTATGACCTCCTGTAAGAGGGTGGCTCCGCCTCCTGTTCCCCCTCGAACCACCTCCAAACCCTTCATCTCCGTCACCGTGCAGAGCAGCACCGAGTCCGCGCAGGACTGCTACCCCGACCGCAAGAGCGAGGTCAACAGCCAATCAGGACGCAGCAACTCCTCCGACAGCCTCGACAGCCTGGCCAAAGGGTCACGACCCCAGCTTCCTGTAGCGCCGCCCCGTGTACCCCAGGCCGTGGTCATCTCTCCCAACGCGCTCCGAGAGTCCCATCATATGCAGGTGAAGGGGGAGGCGCTCGCTGCGGACGAACCCCCTGTAGACCCCGTCCCGAGACGGAAACTCTCCTCCATTGGGATTCAAGTGAGTTTATTGAGCTCAGGCTGTCACACACTTGAATATGCGTGGATTTTAGTGTTGCATACCTTCATTAAAGGGGTCATAAGACTAGGGTTGGGTATCGTTTGAATTTGATCAATTCCGATTCTTATCGATTCCCAAAAACATATGAAGAGTGCATTTGCAAAAGCAGATGACTCTGTTTTTAACAATTCTCAGAAATCATGTTTTTTCATTGTGCGTTCCAATTAATCTCAATCAAACTTTAGTTGGGTTATTTTAATTAGGTTAAAAAATAACTAATAATTACTGCTAACTAACACAATAAAAACATGATTACATAATAAAAAACATGATTTTTGAAAATGTCAAAAAACGGAGTTATCTGTTTTTGCAAATAAACTCTTCATATTTTATTGGATTGTACTGTTTTTAATGTAAATGGACAACGGTTTTATTCAGAGGTGTTTTTAACTGATTTATTTAAAAATGTATCACCAGAATGTATTTTAGTCTAGTGTACATCTGAAATGTCTTTTATATTAAGCTTTTGTTAATTTGATACCTTGTATAATTTATTCAGAGATCGCCATGAAAATTGCCTTGATGCTGGCATGGCGGTAAAAAGTGAATAAATAAATATCAGTTCCCAGATTCGATTCCAATGTGGTTAAAAAAAAAAAGATTTAGATGCATTTAGATATCAAACATATTTATTCTGTCTCTTTTTGCAAAACATATTTAATTGCTGCTGAATACCATGAACGTAAAAATCAGCCAGCTTCATAAAAACTGGGCTCAATTAAGAGCTGTTTGTGTGCACAATAGAGCTCCGTGATTCTGGATAAATTGAGACTTTTTTTTTTAACGGAGGTTGTAGTTCTCTCACATTTCTGAAAAAAAAATATATAAGATGGGTCAAATTCTCATGGAATGGATGAATGGAATGATTCAACGACTCACTCGAGATTTAGTTTCATTACTGGATGAATCAGTGTTTTTTTGAATAAATCTCTTGAATGAATGATTCAAAGACAAATACATTTTTGATAAGCACCTAAAAAAAAGTTGCGCACACAGGAATTTATATTTTAATTTTGCAACAAGTATCCGATTCCTGACCATGACTATCCGATTATGGAATTGAAATTGATTTTCGATTCCCAACCCTACTCATGACGATGCTAAAACTAGCATTAATTTCACCGCTGTTTGTAGGTGGACTGCATTCAGGAAATCCAGGCTAAAGCAGAGACGCCACCGCTGGCCAGATTCCAGTCGATCGGAGTTCAAGTGGAGGACGGCTGGACGTGAGTTTGTTTCACTTCCTGTTTCTCGCTCGCTGTATAATAAACCTCGTCTCAGAAACAGAACTCAACTGTAAGCAGACACTTTTTCAGCAGCCTTGGCTTGGTACTGGAAGTATTTTCCAGTATAAGATTCATCAATAAAAAGAGTCTTGAACCAAACCAACCAGCTCCAAAATGACAGTAAAGGCATTTATAATTAAATTATAATATGATTACACAAAAGTTTTCTATTTCAAATAAATGTTGTTCTTTTCAACTTGCTATTCATCAAAAAATCCTGAAAGAAATGCATCTCGGTTTCTGTGAAGATGCCAGAATCCCGAGCCAAGCTGTACTCACTCGATAGGGCATATATTTTCATGCTCCGGCTCAAATATGGCCTAGTTTCTGCTGTTTAGTGCAGCGTTTAAACAGAATCTAATGGGAGACTGTGTGTAGTTTAGTGTGTATAAGTGACGTTATTTGACTCATAACTCCTGTGTGTGTGTGTGTGTGTGTGTGTTAGTTTCAGCCGCTCCAGTAGTATGGCCTCTCGGCAAGAGACGGACTCAGACACGCAAGATCTCTCGCTCACGTCGCTGACGTTCCCATCCAACTCCAAACACACCGAGAAGAAAGTCATGGTCAACAGCGCCAGCCAATCGGTGGACTCTCCTCCGCAGCTCTCCCTCGACAACGGTAACCATGACAACGGCGTAGCGGTGACAACCAGCGGCCCCTCCCGACAGATCCTGACCAATCGCTCGACCACGCAGAGCAGCTCCTCGTCCTTCTCCGAGAGTCTGGATCCGGCCCTCGACCCGTCATCCCTCCCGCCGCCTGACCCCTGGCTGGAGAGCGGGAATGGGACGGGGGACGGGGGCCCCGCCCAGCCGCTGACAGGGGCCACGGCGTGCCGGCGGGACGGTCACTGGTTCCTGAAGCTCCTGCAGGCCGAGACGGGCCGGATGGAGGGATGGTGCAGTCAGATGGAGAAAGAGACCAAAGAGCACCAGCTCTCAGAGGAGGGTAAGACTGCATATCTGGTCCTTGGTGTGTTCTGGTGGACTAGAGATCGTAGAGTGGCCCTCCAAAATCTAAAGACCCTGAATGGTCTCACATACAGTATGTGACCCTGGACCACAAAACCAGTCATAAGGGTTGGTGGACTAGAGATCGTAGGGTGGCCCTCCAAAATCTAAAGACCCTGAATGGTCTCAAATACAGTATGTGACCCTGGACCACAAAACCATAAGGGTCTTTTTTTATTTTTATTGAGATTTAACGATCATCTGAAAGCTGAATAAATAGCTTTCCATTGATGTATGGTTTGTTAGGATAGGACAATATTTGGCCGAGATACAACTATTTGAAAATCTGGAATCTGAGGGTGCAAAAAAGTCTAATGTTTTGAAAGAAGCCTCTTCTGCTCAGCAAGGCTGCATTTATTTGTACAGTAAAAAAAATGCATGCCTGGTTAAAGAAGGGGGGTCTCAAAAATGGCCAACAAATATTATTTTACTGACTTATTAATTTTAAGTTAAATTGTGATTTGCTGGTATACTGTCTGTTAGAATGTAAAAAAAAAAGTTCAGTGTTAATAAATATTTTTAAATTGTAGTTTTGTAATTTATTTTTTTCTTTGATAATCAAGACAAAACCGTAAAAAGCTAATTTTGGCTATTTAATTTATGCAATCGTGAAAAACATTGGCAAAATACATGGGGGGAAAAAAACGTTAGGTGTTCGATATTCAGCCCAGTGTTTCATTTTGTTTGGCTTCGTCCAAAGAATTTTCATTTCGGTGCATCCCTAATAAATATATATATATATATGACAAAATATTGTACTATATTAATATTCTATATGTTAGAGCAAGAAACTAATAAAAATGTCAAAAGCACATAAAAAATGAATAAAACTTAAGCTAAAATTAAAAAGGAAAACTGAATGTATTCATACACTAAATATTAGATGAAAAACGTAAAAGAGACTTAAACAAACAAAAAAAAAACGTAAAAGTGTTACTGAAAAAATAATTTTGTTGAAGTACTATAATTACTAAAACTGAAAAAAAAGAAAAACAAATTCATGCTAAATAGAAGTATTAAAAAAATGAAAATCTAAGACTAAAACCTAAAATGACTAAAAACTGAAAATATAGAAATAGGAGCTAATTCAAAATATTAACAAATACAATAGCAGTATATAAAATGACTCCAATAACACGGCTGTAGGTGATTTCATTAGTAAGTTCATTAGTTAGACCTTTTGAAGTGGCACACAGGCTTTGATTTCTCTTAATGAATGAAACAAAGTGCCTCGTTAATTAGGTTAATTACATGTGTTCTGAGCAGCTCTAGTGTTTCTACCATTCTTCACAGTCTCTGTTTGTCTGTTATATACGCCTGGTTCACTTCATTTGTTTTCATCAGCTCTTTCTGCCAAACACAGATCTCTGCTCTCTCTCTCTGTCTGTCTGTCTCTCTCTCTCTCTCTCTCTCTCGCTGTGTCTCTCTCTCTCTCTGTGTCTCTAGTTTTGGGGAAGGTCCGTAGCGCGGTGGGCTGCGCTCAGCTCCTCATGTCCCAGAAGTTCCAGCAGTTCAGAGGCTTGTGTGACCAAAACCTGGTAGGTCAATCACAGCAGTTCAAGCTGAAAATGCTCCTGTGTTGTTTATTCAGTCAGTGAAACACTGAGTGTGTCTTATCACACGCTTCCAGTGGACAAAAGGATTTATTCTCAGCGTTTCATTTGCTGAGACAGAAGTATCTAGCATCAGGAGCTGAATAAATTTGTGTATATTATTTGCAAAACCACTGTTATCTTAAATTTAGTGCAACAATTTCTACACAAAATTCATTAAAGGGACAGTTCTCGTGTCAGGCACGTGCAGAAGGGGGGGCTTTTTCAAAATTATTCAAAAGTGCCCCTCTCAGACAAATAGCAATGATATTGTGGTCAATAAAACAAAATGCATTTATTATATTACCATTTTTGATAATTATGCAGCATTATGAAAGTGTCCTATGCTCATCAAGCCTGCATTTATTTGATCAAAAATACAGAAAAAAAATGTAATGTTGTGAAATATTATTGCAATTTAAAATAATGTTTTTCTATTTTAATATACTTTAAAATATAATTTATTTCTGTGATGCAAAGCTGAATTTTTAGTATCATCACTGAAGTCTTCAGTGTCACATGATCCTTAAGAAATCATTCTGATATGCTGATTTATTATCAATATTGGAAACATTTGTGCTGCTTTTTATTTATTTATTTTGTAAACTGTGATACTTTTTGGGGGTTCATTGATAAATGAAAAAGAACAGCATTTATTCAAAATAGAGATGTTTTCTAACATTATCAATCTTTACTACCACTGTTTCTATCAATTTAACACATCCTTGCTTAATTAAAAACTAATTTCTTTAAAAAAAAAAAATATTGACCTCAAGCGGTTTTGAACGGTAGTGTACATTGTTACAAAAGTTATATTTTAAATAAATGCTGTTCTTTTTAAAACTTTTTATTCATCAAAGAATCCTGAAAAAGTATCACAGGTTTCCAACATTGATAATAAATCAGCATTGCATAAAATGTAATTGAAAGTAAATTTTAATCAAATAAATGCAGGCTTGACGACCATAAGTGACTTCTTGCAAAAATATAAAATAGTAGCCTATAATGTATCCAAACTTTTGACCTATATATATATTTACATTTAGTCATTTAGCAGACGCTTTTATGCAATACAAGCAGTCAAAACTAACAAAAGAGCAACAATATATAAGTGCAAATGACAAGTCTCAGTTAGCCTAACAAAGTACACATAGCAAGGTGTGTGTGTGTGTGTATATATATATATATATATATATATATATATTATACACACACACAAAACAAGTAGATAGAATAGAAAAGATAGAAAGCTAGTGTTTTATTTTAATCATTTAGCAATATATATATATTTTTTTTTTGAGCCCCTGCCCCTGAGGAGCTCTCTGCACATCCCTGTTAGTTCTCAAATCAGCTTCTCAGAATCAGAAAGCCAAGAGCAGCATGTTTATGAGCAGCAGAACTACTTGGCTAGAGATGTTTCGCCCCCTTGTGGACAACTGTAGATAAACGTGTGTGAAATGCTATTCCGTATTAAAGAGATTTTTGTTTCCCTGTCTGTTCAGAATGTGAACGCAAACCCGAGACCCACGGCTCAAGATCTGGCCGGGTTTTGGGATCTTCTTCAGCTCTCAATAGAAGACATCAGCCTCAAGTTTGACGAGCTTTATCATCTCAAATCAAACGACTGGAAGCTGCAGGGAGACTCGCCGGAGAAGCAGGTACAAACACAGCTAATGAAATAAATGCCATGCAGATGATGCAGATGATGCATTGTCATTTGCAAACTGTAAATATACTAGACATTCACACTCAGAAGTAGTAGTATTTGGAATTGGCTTTTATTTTTATATTTTCAGTTTTTAGTCATTTTGTTATGTTTTAGACATTTTGTTTTGTTTTTAATATTATTCTATTACTATTTAGCTCAAATTCATTTTTATTTGAATTTGTTTTAGTAATTATTATAATACGTCAACTTAAAGTTATATTTCAGTAGCATTTTTATTTTAGTTTAAGTTTTAGTAATTTTGTCCTGTGCTTATGAATTGTTTTTTTATATAGATATATTTCTGTTTAGCTTTAATTTACACTAACAGTCAAAAGTTTGCAATCATGTTTTTGAAGGACATCTCTTCACCCAGGCTGCGTTTATTTGACTAAAATGCAGTAACAATAATTGAAGTAATATTGTGGAATATTATTGCTATTTAAAAGAATGGTTTTCTACTGTAATGTATTTTCAAATGTAATTCAGCATCATTGCTCCAGTCTTCAGTGTCACATGGCCCTGCAGAAATCATTCTAATATGCTCATTTGCTGTGTAATTATTGTCAATTATTATTGCTACTCAATTATTAATAATAGTTGTTTTTTTGTCAATGTTGAAAACTGCTCGAAACTGATATGTTTTATTTTTCCGGATGCTTTGATGAATAGAAAGTTCAAAAGAACAGCATTTCTTTTTGTAACATGTAAACAGGTCAATTTAATGCATCCTTGCGGAATAAGTTTTTTTTTTTACTAGTAATTTTAATACTTTTAATAACTTATTTTCAGTTAGTTGCCAAGTTGAAGTTGAATGGTCTAATGTTTATATTTGATTTTATTTCAGCTTTATTTCCGTTACCAAAATTATTCTGAATACTTCCTCTGCTCTAGGCTTACATTTAAACAGTTCAAACTTAAATCTAATTACGATTTATTTTTAACTATAATAATCAACACTCAAATTAAAAAATTGTATGCAAACATGTCAATTGCACTCATAACTTGCTTCATAAAAGATTTATATTCATAAAATATTTAGTCTAATATTTGGCGAAATGCTCTTCTCTAGACTTGATTTCTCTGGTGAACTAACGAGCTGTAGACACTGATGACTTGCCTGATGTAAATGAAATGTTATATTTTAAAAAGCCGTTTTAATCACATCTTTTGGTATTTAGCAGATGTCGCACAGGTCACACAGGACCCTGCTCAATGCATGTTTTGTAAGGTTCCCCTTTCTGTCAAATATTTTATTGGACTGTCCAGCTTTTAATGTATGTAGAAAACTCTTTTATGAAGTGAACTCCGTTAAAGAGTTATTTAGTATAATTTTGCCAGAAAAAGTTTTAGAATTTTTATCATATGTGACCCTGGACCTCAAAACCAGGCATGAGAGTCAATTTTTCGAAATTGAGATGTATACGTCATCTGAAAGCTGAATAAATCATCTTTCCATTGATGTATGGTTTGTTAGGATAGGACAATATTTGGCTGAGATACAACTATTTGAAAATCTGGAATCTGAGGGAGCAAAAAAAAATCCTAACTATTGAGAAAATCGCCTTTAAAGTTGTCCAAATGAAGTTCTTAGCAATGCATATTACTAATCAAAAATTACGTTTTGATATATTTACGGTATATAATTTACAAAATATCTTCATGGAACATATCTTTGCTTAACATCCTAATTATTTTTGGCATAAAAGAAAAATCGATAATTTTGACCCATACAATGTATTTTTGACTTGCTACAAATATCCCCCAGCGACTTAACACTGCTTTTGTGCTGCAGGGTCACATATGTTAACGTAATATAACTTGTGTTTGTTTGTTTGCTGGTTTTTATTGTATTTGTTATACTTGTATTGTTTTTGCCATGAAAATAGCCTAAGATGCTGACATGGCATCAAATAAAAATATACTACTACTACTACTAATCACATCTTTTACACATTACACGAGGCATGAGATGTTCATTCATGTTTATTTCACATTAAAACTAGTAGGAAAGAGGAAGGGATGATCACACTCACACCGAATACGTGTACCGTTATACCTCTGACTCCAGTACATGAATGCATTAAGAGCCAGTTTCTTATGGTTTGTGTCTCTCCATCTCTGATCTTTCCGGTTGTGCGGCGTTCAGGAGAACCAGAAACAGGCTCCTCCGGTGCCCAAGAAGCCTGGGAAGAGTAAACCCGCCCTGGGCCGAGAGAAGAGCAACGACTCGGTGGACAAACAGAGACAGGAGGCTCGCAAGCGGCTCATGGCGGCCAAGAGAGCTCAGTCCGTCAAGCAGAACTCGGCCACCGAGAGCGCCGACAGCATCGAGATCTACGTGCCCGAGGCGCAGACGCGGCTCTGAGGAGACGCACACCAAACACGCTCAAGGGCTCCGGCGTCACACACAACACCAAAAGCTGCTTTTGTCTTTTGACGGCGTCGAGGTGAGAGAGGGGGACGCAAACCACGCAGTGCAAACAGACTGCCAAGGAAAACCTCACAACAAAAATCGTATTAGTTGCAATGAATAATATTATTATTGATATGATAATTCATATCGGACTGCTATTGATTATGATTATTGTCCTAGATTGTTTTAAATGTTCTGGATAAGAACTCCTGTATCGTAGAAACACTCCCGCCGCTCGCGTGGAATCCACGTCTTCCTGTTACACGCTTCGGTTTCTGTTCTTCTTCCTCTCTTCCTTCACCAGAGATGCTCCTCGTCTTTTGTTAACAGTTTGGATCGATGCAAGCGAACGTCGCACCAGCTGCTGCTTGATGCGGCAGGTGGCGCTCTTCCGTTTCTCATGTTTTGATGTTTACGAATCATGCGTTGTGGTATATCTCCGTCTCAGGTCCTGAAGTCTCACGGTCGTCCAGTTCTCATGAGTTTAAACAATCCTGATAGTCCTTGTTATTTCTGCTTTGCTTTAAGGAAAGCAACCTAACCTGATGTTTTATTGAATGAAGTGCCTGTGGATCATTATTGTGGGTAACTTTACGACCCTTGTAGCAATATCAAAGATTATAATATCACAATTTAATCAGCACTCCCTAAAACACGTAGTGTAGACGCTTTGGCGGTGGGATAAAACTTAAAGAGCTAAATATGATTCTTCGTTCCTTTTCATCATCCAGTTTCTCTTTCAAACTGCACAGATCTGTACTTGTCGCTCCTCATCATGTCCTGTTAGTTTGAATATAGCATTGAAAACATCTTTATGCAAACAAAAAAAAAACTTTTTTTTTTATCGAAGAAGGTGGTTAGGTTTGTTTTAAACGTATTTGATAAAACTGCAAATTAAGAAATCTTACCTAAATATTCTAATATTAATGCGGTTTTAATTTGATCCTTTATATATTTCATGTGACTTAATCTGATTTGTCCGATACAAACTTACTGCTCTTTCCATGCACTACCATTGTCAAGTTTGGGGTAGGTTTGATTTTGTATGTTTTAAAAGTCTCTTGTCCTCACCAAGGCTGCATTTATTTTGATTTAAAAAAAAAAAGAAATTGTGAAATATTATTACACTTTAAAACAGCTGTTTTCTATGTGAATATCTGTTAAACTGTAATGTATTCCCGTGATGCAAAGCTGTATTTTCAGCATCATTCCTCCAGTCTTCAGTGTCACATGATCTTCAGAAATCATTCTGATTTGCTGCTCGAGAAACATTTCTGATTATTATCATTGTTGAAAACAAATGTGCTGCCCAATATTTTGGTGGAAACCTTGATGCATTTTATTTTTCAGGATTCTTTGATGAACAGAAAGTTCAAAAGAACAGCATTTATTTAACAGAGAAATCTTTTGTAACATTCTAAATGTCTTTACTGTCACTTTTGATCAATTTAATGCATCCTTGATGAATACAAATTTAAATCTTACTGACCCCAAACTTTTTAACTTTATACTTGATTTTTCATCACATGCATCCTCATGAACTGTTGCAGCTCTGCATTCAGTGACAAATGTCCCCAAACTGCCGCTGATTGGCCTCTATTGTGTGTCATTCGGCTGATGTGTGAACTGCATGTCTTCAGTTTGCAGCCTCTCCCAGTCGTTCGCTCCGTTTGGTGTCGGTCGAGTCGTTGACGCCTGCTGAATGTCTCACAGTCCTCTCATATTCAGCCCTGCAAACGTCTGACAGCCACAGATAAACCAGAATCATGGATCAGGAGCATGTGCAGGAGTATTTGAAGGCTCAGCTCAGATGAACCACGAACACCAACCTGATTCATTAATGTTTTACCAGCCTTTGGTACTATTTCCCCAATTAAATCTGCAGAGATAAGCACACGAATTCTACCGTGATGTATAAATAGAATTTAAATAAAAATAATTTGGATATATTCTATATTTCATGGTGTTTATATGTCATGATAGTTAATACCTATAATTTTTTTAATGAATTACAGTCATTTTGTAGGAAGAAAAATGTAAAACGGCATTAGAGTAATGAACAAATATGAAAAGAATTGGAATTTAAGTAAACATCCAAATGCACTAAAGTGACGGATCTGGGGGGAAAAAAGAAAAACAATGTTAAAACGAGCATGTTCAACCCTTTACATGCAATATTTTATTTATTTGTTTTATTTTCATGAGCAGTTGTTCACCAAATGCATCATTTTGAGTCTTGAATCATCACATATTGATCAGAAGTTGCATCAATTCTGTTCAGGGATGCTGAAGCGTCTCATATGGAAACAGACACGAATGTTTTAAGCACACTGAGAAATACAGACAAATCAACCGACACCAATGTTTGCAAAAATATCCATTCGTCTCTATAGATACCATGTTATGATCATTTATTTTTATTGCCTCAATTTTTTTTCTATGAAAACATCATTGTATCAGTTGAATGTCTTTAAATTGTTCACCTGACGACCTGTGGTTTTCACTGTCTGGTGTCTCAGTGTTGTGAAACTGATTTTCACATCATTCATGTCCGGCTGTATGAGCACATGTTTGTGGGCTTCTCTGAGGATGTGGATCACAGAGACACCGTTCATCTCCTCCGCACACCTGGATCTGGAGCAGCAGACGCATTTCGGAGAAACTCTCGTTTGCAACACCGGGATGTGTGTTCTGCGCCTCTCTGTTCATGCTGCTTGGATACTAGATGAACTCTTTTATACACCTGTTAAGTGACTGAGCAGTGGAGTAACACAACAGCGGTCGAACCCTCTCTGATCTCCACATCCACCTGACGGGACGCTCTCTCTTTCTTCAGATGTGTTTTACTAGTTTTTGGGGGTCGTCAAACAATAAATCATCTAAATGCAAGAGTTTGTAGCGACAAGAATTAAGATTATTATTATTACTATAAAGATTGATAATCAATATTTTATGAAACAAGCACATATTTTACTGACTAGGATTTGTTCAATATGTCTAATGCTATATGAAGTTTAGGCTGTGTATGTCAGGGTCTTTTGTTTAGTAAGAAATACAGTAAATCTGAGTAAAGGTCAAACGTGTTACGCCTGCTGAATGTCTCACAGTCCTCTCATATTCAGCCCTGCAAACGTCTGACAGCCACAGATAAACCAGAATCATGGATCAGGAGCATGTGCAGGAGTATTTGAAGGCTCAGCTCAGATGAACCACGAACACCAACCTGATTCATTAATGTTTTACCAGCCTTTGGTACTATTTCCCCAATTAAATCTGCAGAGATAAGCACACGAATTCTACCGTGATGTATAAATAGAATTTAAATAAAAATCATTTGGATATATTCTATATTTCATGGTGTTTATATGTCATGATAGTTAATACCTATAATTTTATTTAATGAATTACAGTCATTTTGTAGGAAGAAAAATGTAAAACGGCATTAGAGTAATGAACAAATATGAAAAGAATTGGAATTTAAGTAAACATCCAAATGCACTAAAGTGACGGATCTGGGGGGAAAAAAGAAAAACAATGTTAAAACGAGCATGTTCAACCCTTTACATGCAATATTTTATTTATTTGTTTTATTTTCATGAGCAGTTGTTCACCAAATGCATCATTTTGAGTCTTGAATCATCACATATTGATCAGAAGTTGCATCAATTCTGTTCAGGGATGCTGAAGCGTCTCATATGGAAACAGACACGAATGTTTTAAGCACACTGAGAAATACAGACAAATCAACCGACACCAATGTTTGCAAAAATATGCATTCGTCTCTATAGATACCATGTTATGATCATTTATTTTTATTGCCTCAATTTTTTTTCTATGAAAACATCATTGTATCAGTTGAATGTCTTTAAATTGTTCACCTGACGACCTGTGGTTTTCACTGTCTGGTGTCTCAGTGTTGTGAAACTGATTTTCACATCATTCATGTCCGGCTGTATGAGCACATGTTTGTGGGCTTCTCTGAGGATGTGGATCACAGAGACACCGTTCATCTCCTCCGCACACCTGGATCTGGAGCAGCAGACGCATTTCGGAGAAACTCTCGTTTGCAACACCGGGATGTGTGTTCTGCGCCTCTCTGTTCATGCTGCTTGGATACTAGATGAACTCTTTTATACACCTGTTAAGTGACTGAGCAGTGGAGTAACACAACAGCGGTCGAACCCTCTCTGATCTCCACATCCACCTGACGGGACGCTCTCTCTTTCTTCAGATGTGTTTTACTAGTTTTTGGGGGTCGTCAAACAATAAATCATCTAAATGCAAGAGTTTGTAGCGACAAGAATTAAGATTATTATTATTACTATAAAGATTGATAATCAATATTTTATGAAACAAGCACATATTTTACTGACTAGGATTTGTTCAATATGTCTAATGCTATATGAAGTTTAGGCTGTGTATGTCAGGGTCTTTTGTTTAGTAAGAAATACAGTAAATCCGAGTTAAGTTCAGATGTGTTTGTGACTCTATTCTTTCTCGGCACCCTATATATATATATAATATCCTCATAAAAAAAATTTCCAATGTGATCTCAGTCTATTGAAACCCATTTTTCTCCATCTGCAAAGAACATTTCAGGTCAGAATGTGACACACTCGGTGGTTAGGAAGCTGTATACTGTAAAAAAAAAAAAAAAAATCCGTAAAATTTACAGTAAAAAAACGGCAGCTGTGGTATTTTATTCGTTTTAGGTTTTACGGTTTCACTTAAATTTACAGTTAAATACCGTATTTTCTTTAACTGATATAATGTTAATATACCAACCTTTTGAAGTACTGAAATCTGTTTTGTAGCTCTGTAATACACTGATAACCACCAAATGCAGGAGGTGATGAGAGTCACACGATGAACCAAAGCCCATCACAAGCAGCTTTTAAACAATAACATATAATATAGAAGGTGCTCAGTGTCTTTCACACAAACACTAAACACCATCACGGTAACACACAAATACAGTTTTTCACCGTATATAGTAGGGGAATTTACCGTTAACCATTTAACAGGTTTACAGTACAGTAAAAGGCATTTTTACAGTATTTTACCGTTAAATTCACGGTCATTTTTTACAGTGTAGCTGCAGAAGTGAAATATGAGCAATTCTTTTCAGAGTTTAGAGGAATTGTTTATTCTCTGTGACTGTAAACTGCACATTCCTGCATATGAAAGAGTGAGATTTGCCACAGGCGTTGAGAAAATACATCACAAATCTGATCTGTATGCAAACTAACACTGAACCATTTCCTACAAATACTGCATTTATGAAAAGAGCTTTTTATTCCAACGGGCCTTAATGTTCAGGCAATGTTGGCAAAGTTACGCTTTGTAATTAAGAAACATTTTGTTGTTCAGAAGCATAATGTTGCATGTCCTGTCATGGTCCATATTATGACATGATTATATTTGAACTTTAGATCTTTTAGGTTCAACAGGTGTGAGATATACAGGTTCTATCAGTTCAGACTCACACTAACACACCAACAGAAACTCTTCTATATGAACGTTTTCCCTTGTATAGGCTACACAGCTTATTGATATTAGACAGAAAGATTATTATAATATTATAAAATAAAATAATTTAAACAAAATAAAAAATACTAATCACAATTACATTTGCTCTTAAAGCTAAAATAATACTAACCAAAAATAGGTGGAAGATAAAAACAGAAAAAAATATTATAATTAGACTAAATTAATATTTTATTTAAATGTTATATATAGCCTATATATATATACAATATTACAATGAATTTTAAAATAATTGTAAATTACATTATAGATTTAGATTGTATAAATATTTAATAAAATATAGTTATTTTATATATTATAAATATAATATAGTCAGAAAATTCATTTTTATGAAACACATTTTATTTGCAAAAAGGAAATCAATTAAAACAATAAGAAATATGTGCATATAAAGTGTCTAATGCACAAAGAGTCAGATATTGCGGTAAGAAGATAATCAAATGCAAAACATGATTTAAAAAGAAAAGCAGCTTCTAAAAATATTTGTTAGAATAGCACTCGTATAACACATTATTGAAGGAGAAATACACACAAAA